TCCTGCGTGTGACAATGATGCCTGACATAAACAACTTAAGGAGAAGAACCGTGTAATTAGGCTCAGAGCATCAGACGTCTCCATATCAGCTTGGCCAGCTCCATGTTTCCGGGTCCATGATGAGGTGTAGTCCTCAGAAGATCATGATAGAAGAAAACTGTTCATCTGACCCAGAGCAGGGGAGCAGAGAGCAGGGGTGCTTATGTTGTCTGGCTTCCTCTTTCGCTCCTCCTGGGACCCTCAGCCTATATGACGGTGCCCCCCATCTCAGTGTCTCCTCTCCTTAGTCAATCTTCTTCGGAGACACCTTCATAGATACATCCAGAAATGTGCTTTACTGACCCGAAGGTACTTTTCAGTGCAAGCAAGATGACAAGATAAAGCACAGATTCCTGGGGTCAATTCTCTACTCTTCCAAAAACACATGGCAAGAAGATCCGGTGGGAGCCGTTGACTTTGCCTTTGCGATGAGACTGACCTTGTCTTGGCCCTCACTCCTGCTCACCCTTACTATGTAGCAGGTCACTGTTTTAGACCAGCCTGTGACGGAGCTGAAGCCCAGGATCTCTGGGCGAGACTTGAGGACTAGTATTATCTTCAATGATTGTAAACTGAGCCACGTGTATCCAGTCTCCAATTGTCAGTACTTGCCTGCCATACTGGAGGGTACTTTCTGCTCTCCACCAGACCCAGGAGTTCGAGAGAAAGTCCTAATAGATGAGACAAAGTTCTTTGAGACGATCAAGCATTGGTGAAGTGATGTAACCTGAAGGACATCTAAGTTCTGATACTCCAGCTGTAATTTTTTGGTTTGCTTGTTTGCTGGGGAGAAAACACAGACGCATGTTCTATGCTACTCAGTTAACCCTCCAGCCCATCTCTTTTTGTTGTGTGCTTTTGTGACTACTCACATTCCTTATCATAGCACCCATTCAAATTTCTCCACCTCATCCATATTGTCAACTTAACAGTGAGGGGGAGGGGCCAAAACAGCTTGACCACACAGCTGCCATGACAGGCTTAGAGGCCCAGACACAGCTTCTGTGACAGGCTTACTGGCAGGCAACACCGGGATCCAGGAGAAGCCATGAGCTGACCCCCACCCAGGGAAGGCTTGCATCTAAGAGGAAATACATGACATTCTAAACATTCCCTATACCCCTAGACAAATTTCAGCCAGTCAGGGTCCTGACCCCCTGGAAAACTCCTCACCCCAGCCTCTGCTATAATAAAAAACCCCACCCTGACTGGGCTTGGGGCTATCTGCCCTCACAGCTGCATTGGACAGAGTCCAAGCTCTGAGCTTGAAA